CTCGCCATGTGCGCGCAGGACGCCGGCCAGAAACCGCTGCTCCGCGGCGGTGGCGGTGGCGGCGACCCTCCGCTGGCTCCGGTGCCACGCCGGGACGCGCGAAGGTCCCCCGAAGCCCCGCCTCCAAGCTGCTTCCGGTTGCGCTGGTCCTAAAGCCCGCGGCCCGGGGGGCGGGCCCGCGCCTCCGCCCCGCCCCCGCCCCGGAAGGAGCGGTTTCCCTGGAGCAGTGGCCTGTGACCTTAGAATAAGATGCTGGTCTCTAACCGCATGTACTAGTAGATGGAGTTTGCAAAGCACCGTTTCATTTATGTATTAATATTCATTGATTTACTCAATATTTATTAAGCACTTATGTGCCAGTAAAATTGCCCTATACTGAGGTTGAGACTATTAAAAAGCATGTATCTTTTTAATTTTTTAAAAATTACTTGTACATATGTCTCCTTTTTTTTTTCCCCATTGACCTTCCCCCGGCCTCCCCTACCCTGCCTCCCACTCCCCGGCCCCAGTGTCTTGTGTCCATTGGTTATGCTTATATGCATGCATACCCTTTGATTGATCTCTTATCCCCCTCCAATACTCCCCAGCCTTTCCGCTGTAATTTCACAGTCTGTTCGATGCTTCTCTGCCTCTCTATCTTTTTGTTCATCAGGTTATAATGTTCTCTATTATCCATAAATGACTGAGATCATTTGATATTTATCTTTCTCTGACTGGCTTATTTCACTTAGCATAATGCTCTCCAGTTCCATCCATGCTGCTGCAAATTGTAAGAACTCCTTTTTTACAGCAGCATAGTATTCCATTGTGTAGATGTACCACAGTTTTCTAAGCCATTCATCTGCTGATGGGCACTTAGGCTGTTTCCAAATCTTAGCTATTGTAAATTGTGCCGCTATGAACATAGGGGTGCATATATCCTTTCTGATTGGTGTTTCTGGTTTCTTGGGATATATTCCTAGAAGTGGGATCATGGGGTCAAATGGGAGTTCCACTTTTAACTTTTTGAGGAAACTCCATACTGTTCTTCACAGTGACTGCACCCCCAGTCTGCATTCCCACCAGCAGTGCAAAGGGTTCCTTTTTCTCTGCATCCTCTCCAGCACTGTCATTTGTTGATTTGTTGATGATAGCCATTCTGACAGGTGTGAGATGGTATCTCATTGTTGTTTTGATTTGCATCTCTTGGATGATTAGTGACTTTGAGCATGTTTTCATATGTCTCTTGGCTTTCTGAATGTCCTCTTTTTGAAAAGTGTCTAATTAGGCCTTTGCCCATTTTTTGATTGGATTGTTTATCTTTCTTTTGTTGAGTTGTATGACTTCCCTGTAAATGTTAGAGATTAAACCCTTATTGGTGATAACATTGGCAAATATGTTCTCCCATGCAGTGGGCTTTCTTGTTTTGTTGATGGTTTCTTTTGCTCTGCAGAAGCTTTTTATTTTGAGGTAATCCGCTTTGTTTATTTTCTTCTTAGACTCTTGCCCTAGGATCTGTGTCTGTAAAGATATTGCTACGATATATGTCCGTAATTTTGCTGCCTATGGAGTCTTGTAGGATTTTTATGGTTTCCCGTCTTACATTCAAGTCCTTTAGCCATTTTGAGTTTGTTTTTGTGTATGGTGTAAGTTAGTGATCTAGTTTCATTTTTTTGCATGTATCTGACCAAATTTCCCAGCACCATTTATTAAAGAGGCTGTTTTGACTCCATTGTATGCTCTTGCCTCCTTTGTCAAATATTAATAGAGCATAATGGCTTGGGTCAATTTCTGGGTCCTCTGTTCTCTTCCATTGGTTTATATGTCTATTCTTGTGCCAGTACCAGGCAGTTTTGAGAACCGTGGCTTGGTAATATAGCTTGATATCTGGTATTGTGATCCCTCCAACTTTGTTCTTCTTTCTCGGGATTGCTGTGGCTATTCGGGGTGTTTTTTTTATTCCAGATGAATTTATGGAGCCTTTGTTCTAGATCTTTGAAATATGCCGTTGGTATTTTAATAGTATTGCATTGAATCTATAGATTGCTTTAGGTAGTATGGACATTTTAATGATGTTGATTCTACCAATCCATGAACGTGGTATGTTCTTCCATTTGTTTATGTCTTCCTCTCTCTCTTTTTTCAATATCCTGTAGTTTTCCGAGTACAGGTGTTTTATGTGCTTGGTTAAGTTTATTCCTAGGTATCTTAATTTTCTTGGTGCAATGGTAAATGGGATTGTTTTGTTCATTTCTCTTTCTGTGTGTTCATTATTGGTGTATAAAAAGGCCATAGATTTCTGAGTGTTAATTTTGTATCTTGCTGCATTGCTAAATTCATTTATTAGGTCTAATAATTTTTTGATGGAGTCTTTGGGGTTTTCTATGTATAGTATCATGCCATCTGCAAATATGGACAGTTTTGCTTCTTTTCCAATTTGGATGTGTTTTATTTCTTCTTCTTGTCTGATCTCTATGGCTAGTACTTCTAGTACTATGTCGAACGGGAGTGGTGAAAGAGGGCATCCTTGTATTGTTCCTGTTCTTAGGGGAAATGGGTTTAGTTTTTGCCGATTGAGTATGATGTTGGCTGTAGATTTGTCATATAAGGCTTTTATTATGTTGAGGTATGATCCCTCTATTCCCACTTTGCTGAGTTTTTATCAAGAAAGGGTGTTGGATTTTGTCAAATGCTTTTTCTGCATCAATTGACATGATTATGTGATTTTTGTCTCTCAGTTTGTTTCTGTGATGTATCACATTTATTGATTTGCGGATATTGTACCATCCTTGCATCCCCAGAATAAATCCCACTGGTCATGGTTTATGATCTTTCTAATGTATTGCTGAATCCTATTTGCTAGAATTTTGTTGAGGATTTTAGCATCTGTGCTCATCAAGGATATTGGCCTGTAGTTCTCTTTTTTTGTGGTGTCTTAATCTGGTTTTGTTATTAGGGTGATGCTGGCTTCATAGAAGGAGCTTGAATAGTCTGAGGAGGATAGGTTTTAGTTCTTCTTTGAATGCTTGGTAGAATTCCCTTGTAAAGCCATCCAGACGAGGACTTCTGTTTGCTGGAAGATTTTTGATCACTGTTTCAATTACAGGTTTTTTTATTCTTCTTGGCTGAGTTTGGAAGCTTGTATTTTTCTACGAATATGTCCATTTCATCTACTTGTCCTTTTTATTGGAATAGAGTTGTTCATAGTATTTCTTCATAATCATTTGTATTTTGTAGGATCGGTTGTTACCTCACCTCTTTCATTTCTGATTTTGTTTATTTGGGTCCTCTCTCTTTGCTTCTTGGTGAGCCTGGCTAGAGGTTCATCAATCTTGTCTATCCTTTCAAAGAACCAATTCTTGGTTTTATTGATCTTTTGATGATTGTTTTTTGGTCTCTATTTCATTTATCGCCGCTCTGATCTTTATTATTTCCTTCCTTTTGCTTACACTGGGCTGTTCTTGTTGCTCTAACTCTTTGAGTTGTAGGCTTAGGTACATTATTACCATTGTTTCTTGTTTTTTGCTGTAGGCTTGTAGGGCTATGAACTTCCCTCTCAAGACTGCTTTCACTGTGTCCCATAGATTTTGGATTGTTGTATTTTCATTGTCGTTTGTTGCCATGATGCTTTTTATTTCTTTTTTGATCTCTCTGGTAACCCAGTCATTGTTTAATAGCATGCTATTTAGCCTCCAGGTGTTTGATTTTTTTTTATCGTAGTTGATTTCTAGTTTTATGCCATTGTGATCTAAGAAGATGCTTGATATGATTTCTATCTTCTTGAATTTGAAGAGACTTTGCCTGTGACCCAATATTTGGTCTATTTTTGAAAATGACCCATGTGCACTTGAGAAGAATGTATATTCTGTGGCTTTAGGGTGAAATGTTTTGAAGATGTCAATTAATTCCATCTGATCTAGTGAGTCATTTAGGATTGATGTTTCTTTGCTGATTTTTTTGTTTAGAGGATTTGTCTAATGGTGATAGTGGGGTATTAAGCCCCTATTATGACTGTATTGCTGTCATTCTCTCCCTTAATATCCCCCAGAAGTTTTTTTTATGTATTTGGGTGCTCTTGTATTGGGTGCATATATGTTTACCAGAGTTATATCTTCTTGTTGAATCACTCCTTTTAGTATTACAAAGTGGCCTTCCTTATCGCTTGTTATGTCTTTCACTTTGAGATCTAATTTATCAGTTATAAGTATTGCTACCCCAGCTTTTTTTTCATTTCCATTCGCCTGAAAAACCTTTTTCCGTCCCTTCACCATCAGTCTGTGAGTCCTTTGTTCTGAGGTGGGTCTCCTGTAGACAGCAGAAAAATGGGTCATGATTTCTTATCCATTCAGCTAGCCTAGGTCTTTTGATTGGGGCATTTAATCCATTTACATTTAAAGTTATTATTGATAGGTACTTGTTATCACCATTTTTATTCTTTACGCCTGTGTTCCTTCTTTGCTTCTTATTTCTTCCTTTTACAGCAGACCCTTTAGCATTTTTTGCATTGCTGGTTTGGTGGTAGTAAACTCCCATAGTCCTTTTTTGTCTGTGAAACTCCTGATTTCACCCTCAATTTTGATTGATAGCCTTGATGGATAGTATTCTTGGATTCAGACCCTTCCTTTGAATGACTTTGTATATTTCATTCCATTCCCTCTGGCCTGATGTGTTTCTGTTGAGAAATCAGTTGCTAGTCTGATGGGGGATCCTTTGTAGGTAACTTTCTGTCTCTCTCTGGCCGCTTTGAAGATTCTTATTTTGTCGTTGGTGTTTGCCAATTTAATTATAATGTGCCTTGGCGTCAGTCTTTTAGGGTTCATTTTGTTTGGCACTCTGTGAGCTTCTTGGATTTGTGTGAGTTTTTTCTTCCCTATATCAGGGAAAT